AGCCCCTTTAAAAAAAAAAAAAAAAAAAAAAAAGAAAGAAAAAAGACATCTGAAGTTTAGATTAGAAGATTAGACTGAGCAAGACCCAATTCCTACTCTCAGCACGCATGGTCTGGACATGGGTGCAGTTTATAATCCTAGCACTTGGGAGGCTGAGGCATGAGAATCGTTAAATTGGAGCCCAGCTGGGTAATTTAGCAAGACCCAGTCTCCAACTTAACAGCAGCCTGAGGCTGTAGCCAACAGGCACTTTGGGCAGCACAGTGCTGTGGCGGGAGACTCCCCTGCCAAGGGAGGAAGGGAGGAAAGGTCCGTGGGGACTTGTCTGGGCCTCATCTTCGGGCCGTGGTGGGCAGAGGCAGCCGGGAAAAGGGCTGGGCTTCCGGGATGCAGGGTGGGTCTGCTGTCCCGGCAGGCAGCGGGAGGGAGGGAGGCAGTGGAGGCCCCGTTACCAGGGAAGCGGGCAGGCGGGGAGGCAGATCCTTAGGCTGGAAATGGCTGAGGGGAGGCCTCGCAAGAGGGAGCCACCCCGAGCCCAAGGGGAGGACGGGAGCAGGGAGGTGCGGAGAGAGCCGGGCTTGGTGTGGGGCACCCTGGGGTGCTGGCACAAGGCCCCACTGGGCACAGGTTTCTCGTCTCAGCGCAGGACCCTTCGCCCACCACCCCTACCGCCGGCACCGCACACCCTCACCAGCGCTGGCTGCACCGAGCTGCATCTCCAGCCTTTTTTGTTTTTCTTCTTTCTCCAGACAGGATCTCTTGAAGTCACTAAATTGACCAGGCTGCTCTTGAACTTCCAATCCTCCTGCCTCAGCCTCCCAGAGTGCTGGTGTCCACCACCTTGGCCGGCTCTTGTCCTCTTGTCCAGTGGAGGAAAAGAGGCAGAGAGCTGCAGCGACAGGCCCCAGGTCACACGGGGAGGAAGAACAGCACCGGAGCTGGAGAACGCACTGCAGACCCCGAGCAGCACTGCCTGTGTGCCTTCCCCTTGCTGTTATTAGACAGCGTCTGTGCGAGCGGGGTATGGAGAGAGAGGACGTGTCCCAGTGACAATTAGAAGACAAAATCCTGGAGATGGTGGTGCAGGCCTTGAATCCCAGTGCTCAGGAGGCTGAGGCGGGAGGATCACCAACTTAGAAAGATCCTGTCTCAAAAAGTAAAAATACTAAAACATGACCTGTGAATGTGTAGCAGGACAGGCAGGAGGGTACAGAAGGTGGCGAAGCGCTGCAGAACCTGGGTTTCTGGGTTTCTAGGGGAGTTGTTGGACCTGAAGGCAGCAGCAGGTTCCCCACCCCACAGTGGCGAACAGGAATGAGTTCCGGATGCGCAGCCCTCCTCGGGCACAGGGCCGAGGCACTGGGTCTGTGCCCATGGTCGGCGGCCAGGCTGCACACGGGGAGCCTGGCTTGGAGAACTTGCAGAGAGGACTCGGCCATTGGGACGGCACGGCAGAGGCCTGGGGCAGGCGCACCAGGCTTAGCTGTGTACCGTTTCCCTGGACGGGGATGCAGAAGTCGCCTTGAAACAGCGGTGTGGCCCTGGCCAGAAATTCACGGCCCATGGGCACCTCGGGGGCCTGGGGAACTGTTTTTCCCAGGGTGGGAAGCCCTGGAGGAGCCCTTGCTCCTCCTTCCTAAGGATGTCAGGCCGGGAGAATCTCAGTGAAAAGAGTTAGCTGGGCATGTGAGTCCGAGGCCAGCCTGGGCTCTCTACGGCAAGACCGTGTCAAAATGAGGAGGTGTCTGGCCAGTGCACAGCTGCCTCGCGTGGTTCTCAGGAAAATGAGCAGGAGCCTGCGGGCATCAGAGTGAGGCTAAGGGAACTCAGAGTCCGCCCCGAAAAGCCACCGAGCCGCCTTGGCACCCACGGGTCAAGCCAGCAGGTGACCCCTTCAGTTGGCCAGAGGGTGAAGGTTCTGGAGAACAAACTCAGTGGGTTGAAGATTTTTTTTTTTTTGGCTTGTTTTTTATTCTTTTGATATAGCCCAGGCTGGCCTCACTCTCCTGGCAATCCTCCTGCCTCAGCCTCCTGAGGGCTGGGATTACAGGAGTGCGCCACCACGGCCGGACGATCCGCTTAAAGATGTTGAGGAAAGCTGGCCTGTGGGTCAGCGAGGGCTTCGTTTCTCCAGCCAAGCAGTGGAGCAGGCCTGAGCCTCCAGAGTGACAGCAGTGCCCCAGACCGCGGCCTTTCCTGAGAACAGGCCCAATCTCCGTGGGTGCCCACTTGCCGCAGGCTCCAGGTGGCTGGGAAGGCAGGTGACCCAGAGGCTGGGGTCCCACAATCCTCAGGGCTCCTGTTATGGCTGTGGCCCGGGAACAGCGGAGCCTGCGTGACAAGCTGTGGCTGGGCCAGGTGTCGCCCCGAGCGTGCAGTGACCGGGCAGTGATGGGGTGGGCGGAGGCAGCAAGGGCCGGGACGGGCGGCTCCCCCAGGCCGAGCAGCGCTGCCTGCTCAGAAGTCGTTGGTTTCCCAACATCGCTATTTCTCCCACGAGTCTTCCAAAAGGAGGTGACCAGGAGAAGATCGGGGGATGCAGACGCTGACGTTAATCGATAGCCACGGCTCGCAGCGGTGCCTTCGGCCTTATCTCTCTCTCCTCCGGCCGGCATGTGTCCCCGTCCCGGTCAGTGATTAATAGGGACCATCACTCACTGGGCCGGACGGCTGAAAGGCAGCGGGGAGGGGCGGCCCTCCCCAGAACCGAGATAACAAGCGGCAGGAATAATGAGTGGTGTCATTCCACTTTTCATTTTGATGGAAAGTCATTACGGGAGTCAACGCCAGCGACAAAGAGCCATGAATCAACTGCTCTGCTATGAAATTAAAATCGAATTGCTGGCCACCCCCGGCCCCTGCCCTTCCCGGGAAACGGACGGGTAGGTGGCTTGGAGGGTGCCATCCCGGCAGGAAGTGGACAGACAGCCCAGAAGGTGACAAGTCCCATCCATACCTTACCAGCCTCTTCCTCCCTGGACCGTGTCCCTCGGACCCGCAGGGGAGGCTGGCCGGGTCCACAAACCCCACCCTCGGGCTGTGGGCGAGGTCCTGGTGACGTGGAAGAGGGGCCCAGCGCACCTGGCGAGTCATCTCTAGCTAGGACAGGGTTCCCCGTATCACCAGACCACAGAGGAAGTCCCCGACCTGGGCTCCACAGCGACGGCTGGTGGCTCCAAGAGGCCACCTGGATCAGGAACCCACGCACACAGTGGCCGGCTCAGGGAAACGGCGCGGTCACCGTGAGAGACCGTCAGCAAGCCTGTGTGGTGACGGACACCTGCAATCTCAGCACTTGGGAGGCTGAGGCAGGAGGACTGCCACGGGGCCGGCCTTCCTTGGCTGTGTAGTGAGTCCAAGGCCAGCCCGAACTACACAGTGAGCTCACACACAAAGAAAGCAGCGCACGGCCAACAGCAAAGCCAGTCTTCCTCTTTTATTAAGTCCAACCTGACCAACTCAGAAGCGTGGCTCACGGCAGCGGGCGACTGACACAGCCCCCTGGGGCCGGGGTGGGAGCCCGGCACTGGTAGGCGCGTCTCCTCCTGTCGCCCTCTGTGCTCCACGCTGCCTGGCTCCAGCAGAGAAGGCCCGGATGTCGGCTGCGCCCCTCCATCCGATGGCAGACGAGGCCCGGGTCACAGGGAGGCCCCCAGCAGGTTCACGGGGCGCCCGCCGTACCGCCTGGAGATGTCAGCTTCGCTCTGTGGACAGCGG